TTCGCTATACATGATTCCACACACACACACACAAAAGCATGACTGTGCCAGTGCTGTTTCGCAGGATTTTTTCCCTGACTTGTCAGGAGGTTGAACCCCGACAATCTGCCCAGGATGGATTTAACTGATGGATAAGGAATCGCCACACCCAGAGTTAGCGATACCCCTGAGAGATGCAAGGAAGATGAGCATTAGCGAACTCCAGCAATCAAACAGCATCATACATATGTGTCCAGATAGTCTTGACCTCGAACCAAGATTCACCAAATCAGAACACACCAATCGTTCGTAATTGACAATGCTGAAATAGTCTCTCATCATCATCAACAAAGAACAAGAGTTGATATCCTATTGGCGCTCGGCGCCCAGACTACTTGTGGCAGATCCTATCTAGCCTAATGCTACAATGCCGATGTTGACAACAACAGCTTTCTGAAGTACGAGCATACAGCGGACAATGCCGCACGCTTCCAGCACCAGGTATGTCTCTCGTAACACTCACAACCTCGATCCACACGGCACAGATGCCACTTGCACCCAAGGACCACCCTGCGTCACATCCAGCCTACAGCGGAGCAGCTCGGCTATGGCTGCCCGCTACCTCCCTGCTCGCCCGTGAGAGCGTGAATGCCAGCCAGCCAGCAATGAGCGCAGCAGCGCTTGCGCAGCATGCAGCCAGCACCCGAATGCCGAATGAGGAGGCAGCCCCTTCCCTATATTGAAGTGGCCTGCCTGCGTCCAGTCCAGGAAGCTTCCGGTAGGCCCCGGTAGGCACAGGCCCAGTCACGAAGAGAGCAGGCCTTGGGCCTGAAGTGGTTGCATGTGCCCAACTGCTTCCGGCCTGTGTTTGGCCCGGTACCCGTATCCAGCCTAGGGCCTGCTTCACATTCATTTACACAGGCGGCCCAGGGCCTGGATTCATTCAACCAACTGGCGCAACGCAACTGTCTGAATTTCTCGATGGGGGGTACCCTGAAGAATGAGGCCCGAAGGGCCTGTCGTGCCTGCCTTCACTCTTAGGGCGGCCGACCTTGTTGCAGATAGGGCCCCGTAGGGGCTAAGCGGGCGTAGCCTCGCAGAGAGAAAAGTGGTCGACTTAAACATTGAAATGAGGAAGTTGTTGAGTGAGCTTGCGTCCGTATCACGAGCTGTGTTGTGTGTGGACTTCCCTTCGCGCCTTGCAATATCATTGTCTTTGTCCATTCCGACGACTCCATTTCGCCTTTCATTTGTTTGCTTCTGTACTAAATTCTGCCCGTGCCATGGTTAAAGGCCTTCCAGCAAATCACCCTCCCGCTGACCTTCATTCTCAGCCTGCCCTTCTCTCTATCTCTCTTCATCACCCCCTCTATTTTGCCACCCTGTCATGACCGTTTCAATATCTGCGCACTCTTCATTCATCCAGAACACCTCGATGACTGCCATGCAGATGCTGTACGCGCTGCACCATCTCTTTTCATTTCTCTTCGCTCAACCTTTACGCTGTGCCTTGTCTGTGGCTCACTATACTCTTGAGATTTTTGTGTGCACAAAAGTATCAGGCACTGGAAGATAGTATTTACAAAACTATAATCTCTCTCATCCAAATTGCTGCTACACTTCTTGTGCACTGCCTACTTTCTTTTGCTGACCAAGACTGTGCTAATGGATGCCTCTCAAAGTATCAGCAGCTGGTGTATGGGTAACCAGTGCTAGCCACTGGAAAGGATTTTATGAAATTGCAATTAAGATTATGAAAGTGGTTGTGGCAGTTCTTGTGCACTGATCATCAAAGTTCTTGTTCACAAGTTCTTGGTTGGCACAAGAACACAGTTCTTGTATTTGCTTGAGACTCTCTGCTTTTTTGTGCTAACCAAGAATGTCTGATGGATGCCTGTGAGTCCTTCTGCAGAGGAATTGGGCACCAATCCGTGGAGACGGAAGAAAGAAAGGCCTGCGTTCATGTGATTGCCAATCCAGCAGGCCAAGTAGCCAGGACTGGGGCTTTCTGGTAACGAGGGCAGTTGTAAAGGGGTAGCGGTGCTTGATGCATTGAGCCTCACTGCTCGTTACCTTGAGCACACACACACAATGAGAGATCACACAAAGTCCACAGTGGAGTCCAGAGATGCGAAGTCCAGATACATGGAGCTTCAAAGTTCCAACAAATGATCATGTTAACTGTGTTAGTCCCCGGGCGGCCCGGCTGGAGGAAGATCGCCCGGGTACCCTCCTGGGCGGCCCGGACTAGGCAGGGTCTTGAGCGATCCCAGCGCATAATATTCTAAAAAATAGAACATAAAAAAATTCAAAAAAAATAAAAAAAATACGAAAAAAAAAATTTGGTGTAAAATTGCAATACAAACGACTTTTGGCTGAGGGCCACCTCGAAATTCCTTGTTAATTTCAAGATAAAATAAATGAGAAAACATGAGTCCCCAAAGACTCCAAATGTATCCTTTTAAACCACCAGTACTTGGGCGACGCCTTAGCGTTAACGCTACGGGATTTCCGCGGCCGGCGGGCCGTCGATAAATCGAATCGACAGCCCGTGCTGCTTCGAGTTTTGGGCGGCCGGCGCGGCGCGCAGTGCCCAAGTACTGGTGGTTTAAGCCCTTTAGTCACTGTTTATACCCCCCAATCCCCCCTGGATGACCCATCACCAAAACCAAAGTTAAGACTGGATTCTGACTGCTTGGGCCAAGCGCAGTCCTGGCCTGAAGTCTTTTTTTTTGGGGGGGGATCCTTGCCTCTTTTTTGACCCCTCTGGTTTTGCCGGACGACCCCCCCTCTGCCCAACTGACCCGGGTGGTGCCGGCCTGGGCGACGGCCCAACATAGCATATTAAGCAGTTTCAGAGTTCGGGTCACCAGCGCTCATCAGCGCAGAGTTCAGCAACCCAGTGCCAGCATCCTCTTCCAAGGCAGGTGACTCTCTTTTCTCTCTGCTTCCCTCTCTCTCTCTTTGTCTTCTTCATGCATGCGCTCACTCTCTCCCTCTACTCTCTCTCCTTCTCTCTACTCGAGGATGTCGACTCTGAATACATCCGCCACTACTCGGGTCTGCCTCCTACTACTAGCTGAGCGGCTATGCCCGGTCCCTTCTCAGCACAGCGCCTCCCAGCAGGGCTCCTGCGGATGCTATTTTGCAGATAACGCACAAGCGCTTCAGCAGTATTGACTTGGACTGAGTTTTCACTCGTCCCAGCCTCTGCTTCCTTTGGCTTGACTTGGACCTGGTACCACATGCCCACAGCCTGTTTGCTTCAGAATGTCAAGGCCTGGCACTTTCCCAAATTTTCATTGGTGTGCTGCTGCTTGGGTCTGTGAGTCGTGACTTTTCGTCTGTGGAACATGACTTTTGACTGTGGGATGTGACTCTTGCCTCTGGGACACGACTTTTGCCTGGAGAAGTGCCCTTTGTCTGGGGGATATGACCTTTCAATATGAGACGTGACTTTTGCGTATGGAATGCAACTTTTGCCTTTGGAATGTGACTCTTCACCGGGTTCCTGTTGGACTTGACCCCTGGGGTGCCTGACTGTGACCTTTCTGAAACTGGCCGACTTGGCTCCTTTTGGCCTGAGACTTGGACCCTGAGATTCGAGTTTGGGGTCTGCATCGTGGAATGCCCTTCATTGAAAACTCTGTTTGATCATTGAGTTTGTTCTTTGTTTTCTCTTTCGGATTCAAATGTTGAAATTTCCGTGCTAGATGTCCCACACTGTATGCTGCAAACCGATGACTGAGATGGATGATTGGTGACACTGCAGGGCATAACGCTGTACTTCATGCTTGCACTGTGGAGGATGAAAGCTTTGTTGGGATGGGAGCCACTTTGCTCGATGGAGTGACCGTCCAGAAAGGTGCAATGGTGGCTGCGGGGGCTCTCGTCACTCCAGGAACAACTGTTCCATCAGGCCAGGTAGGGCAGACATCTACCTGTGCGATCTTCATCTACGCGGCATTCGTTTGATTGCTGTTGGGATCCAATGGTCACCCCTGCTGATGGCTGCCATGTATTGATTTTCCTATTCTCACGCAGTGCCGTGGGGCGCGGCTGCGGGGCCAAGCACCATTTTGCTCCGTGCTGCAGCACCACAAGTGTCGTTGGCCAAGAGGCTTACTGCCTTCTCATGAACCTCAGAAATACAGACACAAACTCGAATCAATCGGACAAACATAATAAACTAGTTCTGAATTACCTGGGGCTGGTCAGCTCAGTGATAATATCACAAGGCCATCACATATTTGTTTTCCTTCTTCACGTGGAGGCTGCCCCAGCATGCACACACGTCTACAGACCGACAAGCACGGAACTTCCACCACACGAGCACCCACACACACACGTTGCACCTTCTATTATATTGCTCGTCTACACTTTTTTGTTTGTGGATGGTTTGTGATGGTATCCGGATGGAATGAGAGAGAGAGAGTTTGGGGATGTTGATAAACACACGAACGCACACACACACAAATAAACACACATGCAGGCATATGCATCAGTAGCTGGTAACACAGCCGCTAAGGTTTACCATGGCTGACCGTGTGGGGTAGTGCTACCTCGAATGGGAGAACGAAGGGGGGAGAGCAGAGGAGGTAGGCAGGACAAGGTGTGAGCGCTATCCGATCCCAGTGGATGGCTGGGTGTATCCCATTTCAAGCAACTTGCAGCTTGCTCAGGGGCAATGGGTGGAGGAGGTGGAGGAGAAGGAATGGAAAGGCGATAGACATAGCATCGTGGGGGGGGGGGGGTCAGAAGAAAGCCACACAGGGCGTTCCTGAGACAATGGAGATTTGGCGATGGCCTCCTGTGTTTCTCAGACCTCCTTATGCTTTCGAAGCTCCTGTTGCTACGTGCATTCACCATCTATTTGTGTGTGTGTATGTGTGTGTGTGTGTGTGTGTGTGTGTGTGTGTGTGTGTGTGTGTGTGTG